GGGGGGGGGGGGGGGGGGGGTGCCAAGCACAGGATCCGCCCCGGGTGCCAAATGCTCTAGGTACGCCCCTGAACTGCAATATGAATGCACTGCTTTGGGTGACCACTGCTCCGCACTAAATATCTCTTAAATGGTTTACACAGCTCCGAGAGGGTACTTCCTCTTATATAACAGTCACATATTTTCCATGCATCAAGTTTAGCATTAGTCAAACTAATAAGCAGTTTATTAAACCAAAAACAAAACAATTTCCAGCTAACATGTTGCACATTTTGGTCACATAGCTACATCAAAGATGTACTCTGCAAATCACAGACTCTGATTGGCTGTTGGCGTCACGTGTGCAATGCAGCGTGGCTCGTCATGAACGTATAGCTATAGCAGTAGCAAGCAGCCAACTTGGGGAATTTTCCCTGAGTTTGTAAGCCAAAAGGGATGCCTTTGCCACCATAATATAATGTCATGTTTGGGCTTTTTCAAAATTCCAGCATGCACAGCTGCACAGACAAAATAGACAAGTACAAAACCAGAACCATTGTGGTCCCACACAAAGCCCTAACTTACCTATAATAGTGGCAGTAAGGAAAGTGGGAGGCCGGCATGAGTCTGTGTGCTTTCCAACTGAATTCTGGATGCCGATTTTTACATTATCAAAACTGGTTATTCTTCCCCCAAACCAAAAACAGAGATCCCGCAACAGGCGATTAGAACTGCGCACGGCATGAAGAATGGGTTCCTCTTTCCTGAAGCCGTAAAGGGCATGTATGGAACATGGATCCACTCGTCTGGCAAGTTTGGAGTCACATGAGCCTGACAGATCACTCCAGGCCTTTCCTGCTTGGTGTCCCCGCAGCGCTAAAGCCAAAACCGGTGGCGCTTGACCATCTTCCCTAATGTAGGATGGAGGAATTGTATCTATGAGAGAAACAAAATAAATAAATAGACACATCTATTAAAAAAATAAATCCTACTTGTTATAGGCAGGTTTATTAGAGCGGAGTATTTGGAGACTTACTTTTGGTGGACAGAATAATATAAGGACCAATCAGTTGTATTTCACAGGAATAAATCCCTATGTGTGACCAGTGAATTCTAAATGCACTAATGTGGGAATAATCTAAGAGTAGCTAACAAAGCAGGATGAAACAGGATATAGCACATTATTAAAAAAGTGGTTGTAGAGGTGGCTTAAAGGAGAATCGACACTTCTCTAAAAATAGCATTATTGAGAAAAACATGGAATTCACCTATAGTCAAAGCAACATAACCATTAAATAGCGTCAGGTGTCTCCTGACACCGTACACCAGGTAAGAGTTAACAACAATTTTGTCTGATCCCTCTTCACAAATATTTCTAAAACTATTTTAAAAAAGAAAAGATATATCTCATCGAAATATTGAATGCAGACCTGTGAACTATTCCATCTGAAGATGTGGCCGCAGTGTGGGTATCCAGGGGATCCTGTTAAGTGTCAAACCATGCTAGCACTGGAGAGGGAACCTCCTAGCACCACAACCACTATAGAGCACTGCAGTGGTTATGGTGCATGATTCACCATAACCAAAGCTTAGAAAAATGAGTGGCATGGAATCATGATGTGGATATATCAATATGATATTAATTATCCTAGGAAGTGATGGTTGTCATGTATGTTTGTGTCACTTCCTAAATGTTTTACTGGTAACAGAGAGCTTGAGGATGAAAGCAGCTCCCCAGGGATCAGGATAATACATGGAAACTAACAGGTTGGATTACGACTTCCAGGCAAGAAAAATAATAACATTGATTTGTTTTCAATAGAAGCGGATACTAAACCAGTCCTACCATCACTCTCAGCTGTCTAGTTTTATTAATCCTTAAATCCTGAACTATTAGGGTGAACGATAAATGACCTGCTAACCAGTGATTTATAATCTCATTGTGCTAGGCCCAGGATAATGCAAACATCTAATAGCTAACACCTTTCTGTGCCATTTACACTGTAAGAAGTAATTCTACCTATATAAGAGTGAAGAAGAGTGCACTCCGGATACAGTAACCTGAGAGCACACACATCAAGCCCCTTCATGAGTACGAGGTGCAGAATATGGTGAAACGCGGCGGGATCTCTCAGCAGTGAGTCAAACAAGGTAACAGACACCACCTATGGAGGAAAGAGATAATTTTATGGGATATTTATCGAGCAGAACATTCATCAGTACAAGAATTTTAGATGTTCCTCACCTCAGTCTCAATATCTCCATCTATCTCAAGGCCTTGAGGACTGAGCTTCTCATCAGTCTCCACAGTCTGCCAGTAGAAACCAGACGAGGATAAGAAAGCTTTTTCCACGGCCTGGGAACAAACATTTGCTAGTTATTGTTGTTACGTTTACCTGCTGGTCATGAACACGGATAAATCAGGAAGAGATATGATGACCCTCTGACAAGCACTGACAGCCTAGACTAGAGGAACAATATGTCCAAGCTGCAGAATACTATGACTGAATGTGACTGGAAATCAGATTGATGGATTCCAACAGATGGACACCAACAAGGTGCACGTGATATGAATTGGTGCAAGGTTCATTGTCAGAGGTTCCTACCTCATGGGTCAGGATCCAAATCTGTGTGTGTTTGTAAGGGAGATGAGGGATAGATAGCAATACATATCTTCAAATTGGTCTCTATTTAAGGAAATCACACCTACATGTCCCTTTGGCTAGAGAAGAATGATACAGCCAAGGCCAAGCAAATTCATGGTTCTGGGACCCCTGCATGACTCATGGATCCTGGGAGCTAGGCTCTGACTGAATTCCTGGGAGAGTTCGTAAATAAATACGATGACAGGATGGACAATGGTTTGCACCTTGGATAAGTACACACACATACATATATATATATATATAAAATCAGAACAACAACGCGAGCACTCTTTTTCCAGAAGTTCTTCTTAATTTAAGAATTATCCAAGCATGCCAACGTTTCAGTCCACCATGCAGACTTTCATCAGGACAACACCTGGTTCTGGCATTTTCTTTCTGATTATATTTTGTTTTTCTGAGCACCAACTATTAATATTTTATTAGTAGGAGTGCAAAGCTGAATATTCTTTTATATATATATATATTTAGAGAGAGAGAGAGAGAGAGAGTTATGTACTTAATAATAGGCTTAGAAAGTGGCTATTTACTTGTATTAATTGTAATATCGGGTAGAGTATCTTAGTAGTACTAGACATATATTTGCCTGGACAAGGGGATAATGTTATATATTAGTTCTCGCAAGAGTGGAAAGGGGATATTCTATTTACTATTAGTGGATTACTCTCAGAGGATACCAACTGGAAGTATTGTGAGGGAAGAGTTACAGTTTACTGTAATGGCCAATGGAGACTTAAAGGAGCACTATAGTGTCAGGAAAACAAACCCGTTTTCTGGGCACTATAGGGTTATTAGGTCCCCCCTCCCGCTGGGCTGAAGGTATTAAAACCCCTTCAGCCACTTACCTTAATCCAACGCCGGGCTCTCTCGGCGCTGGTGACTTCTCCTGCCGACGTCAGCTCCCGAGTGGAGCTGAATGCACATGTGTGGCCAGAGCCGCACGCGCATTCAAATCACCCATAGGAAAGCATTACTTAATGCTTTCCAATGGGTATCTGAACTCACACTGCGTGAGTTCAATGCGATTTTCCCACCGAGAATCACGGAAGCGGCTCTCATTGACAGCCACTAGAGGCTGGATTAACCCTGCATTGTAAACATAGCAGTTTCTCTGAAACTTTTATTTTTTCAGCTGCAGAGGTAAAACTAGGGGGACCTGGCACCCAGACTACTTCATTGAGCTGAATTGGTCTGGGTGCCCATAGTGGTCCTTTAATTAAATGGCTTTGTAGAGTTAATTTTAGCATAACATTTTTTATAATTTAGCATAACATTTTGTAGTATACCGGAATTGAAGAATAGGTAACTGTGTTATTCTTACAAATGTAGAATGGGTCAACAAGTCTCTAAGTACATAAAGTAAATTAGCAAAGAATGGTGGAAGTCTTGAAAGTTCCTATAACAGCTGAGGTGATTTCTAAATCTTGTTTCTCACTAAAATTATAACTGAAAATTCATACATCTAACATGCTAGTAAACCCTTAGGTTAAAAACTCTAATAACTTAAAAATGGCTACTTACAGGTAGGAAAGGGGTTTGCCACAACACCATCATAACTGTTATGATGAGCTGTCGTTATTATGGTGTCTGATTGTACCCAAAATTGCACTGTAGTATTAACTGATAATTTCAAAAAAAGCTATGTGTATACATTTTAATATTTGATAGAGTCCTAACCTCAACATCTGAGGAAAGGGATTTAGGGGTGATTATTTCTCATGACTTAAAGGTAGGCAGACAATGTAATAGAGCAGCAGGAAATGCTAGCAGAATGCTTGGTTGTATAGGGAGAGGTATTAGCAGTAGAAAGAGGGAAGTGCTCATGCCATTGTACAGAACACTGGTGAGACCTCACTTGGAGTATTGTACACAGTGCTGGAGACCGTATCTTCAGAAGGATATTGATACCTTAGAGAGGGTTCAGAGAAGGGCTACTAAACTGGTTCATGGATTGCGGGATAAAACTTACCAGGAAAGGTTAAAGGATCTTAACATGTATAGCTTGGAGGAAAGACGAGACAGGGGGGATATGATAGAAACATTTAAATATATAAAGGGAATCAACACAGTAAAGGAGGAGACTATATTTAAAAGAAGAAAAACTACCACAACAAGAGGACATAGTCTTGAATTAGAGGGACAAAGGTTTATAAATAATATCAGGAAGTATTACTTTACTGAGAGGGTAGTGGATGCATGGAATAGCCTTCCAGCTGAAGTGGTAGAGGTTAACACATTGAAGGAGTTTAAGCATGCGTGGGATAGGCATAAGGCTATCCTAACTATAAGATAAGGCTAGGGACTAATAAAAGTATTTAGAAAATTGGGCAGACTAGATGGGCCGAATGGTTCTTATCTGCCGTCACATTCTATGTTTCTAAGTCATCACACTGTTAGTTGGTGATCTTTACCTCTGTGGCAGGATTTAAGGTTGCAATGTTGCTTAGTTTGACAGGTGGGACTTCAAGTGGAATTGGGAAAAGTTGCCCGTGCAAGCGATGTGTCACCTCATTGGTCCACCATGCGACACTTTGCAAGGTATTTTGCCTTAAGAACAGCGACGCCTGCTGGTAGAAACTGGAAGTGCCTCGTAAGCCTTCTTTACCCTGTGCGGAAGCATGTTAGATAAGAGATCATACCATACTTGAGTAACTCAAAGCACTAGCAGTACCTAAACAATGCAAACACTCCCACTGTGCTGGAATATAATACGCGATACTTGTTTCAGTAAATATCAGGGGAGTCCAGCCCAATTGCCATTAATTTTGTCAGTATCCCCACTAGCTCACGTGGAACTCTCAAATCTCACACATATTTGCCTTAAAGGACCACTATAGGCACCCAGACCACTTCAGCTTAATGAAGTGGTCTGGGTGCCAGGTCCAGCTAGGGTTAACCCTGTTTTTTATAAACATAGCAGTTTCAGAGAAACTGCTATGTTTATAAATAGGTTAATCCAGCCTCTAGAGGCTGTCTCATTGACAGCCGCTAGAGGTGTTTGCGTGCTTCTCACTGTGAAAATCACAGTGAGAAGACGTCAGCGTCCATAGGAAAGCATTATGAATGCTTTCCTATGAGACTGGCTGAATGCGCGCGCAGCTCCTGCCGTGCATGCGCATTCAGCCGAAGGGGAGGAGACGAGGCTGAGAGGAGGAGGAGAGCTCCCCGCCCGGAGCTGGAGAAAAAGGTAAGTTTAACCCCTTCCTCTCCCCAGAGCCCGGCGGGAGGGGGACCCTGAGGGTGGGGGCACCCTCAGGGCACTATAGTGCCAGGAAAACGAGTATGTTTTCCTGGCACTATAGTGGTCCTTTAAGCACATCCCGGTTCATACCCATTGCAGTGACAGACATAATGATTAATCACTAACCTCAGATTTCTGTTTTTCCACACAACCATAAGATGCCGAATGTGTACAGTAATACATTATCAGCACTACACTGCCAGTAGAGAGAGACTGACATCTATTTTATCCCACTTTGCCCATGAAGTCACATCGTACGTGTTAAGGGAGAAGAAAAGTCATGGACTTACCTTGGGCTTTCGGATCTTGGGGCTGTTTTGCAATGGCACAATCCCCGGTGACAAGCAGGCAAACAGCGCCAGCCCTTCCTCCCGCCACTCCTGCTGCAAACCCAGCACCTGAAATGGGGCACTGCTCTGAGGATTTAAGGCTGGCACCTGCAGGAACAATAACAAAAACACATAAAATGGAAGCAGCTGGAATTGGGTATCTAAGGGAAGACACAAGAGTGTGTGGGGTGCATGCGGATAGTCTCACCAGGGAGAGGAGCCAGGTGAGCAAAGCATTGTAGGCATTGCTGGAAGAGAGAGAGGAGTCTGGCAATCGACTGCCATGCTGTCCCGGGAGGATGATCTGTCCGCAACTCGATAACCAGACAGTGAGGAGAATCAGCTCTACATTACTGCATGATGCCGATGGTAAAGGTCCAATATCTGGGCTAAACGAAGCTTCCTTCAAGATGAGAAAAGAGCAGCCTTTACCAAGTCATAAAATATATATTCACGGACCACCATAACCCACAACTCATTTACCTGTGATTGCTCTGATTCACAAAGGGGGAGATAATAGTGATCTCCCCGCTTTGACATTTTTTTCTGGATTCCAAACCTTTATTACCATTAGTGAATCCATTCCCAAAAAAAAGCACACGCATGATCAAGCCATAAATAATAATGTTGATATATATGATCACATGTGTCCTAAATGATCAAGAGACCTCTTAGTGAAGAAAGATCCGGTTATTGAAACCTCACACCAGGCAACTTTTTGGGACTTGACGAAGATTCTGATTGGACTGAACCGCTGCTTGGCATGAGGTCACAATAAGGAGATCTTCGTTCATTGCAATGGAGTTCTGAGCTAGGATCAGTTCTTTACGCTATGACCAATAGATCTCCTCTCACCGGGTGAAACAATACAGGGGTTCCCTTGGCCCTTGGCTGCCGGCGGTTCACTGAGTTGAGTGGTTTCAATCCTTCCAGCTGAGCCTGCATCCTATGACGGACTTTCTTTTCTTTTTCCTGCATCTCCTTGCGTTCCAGAACCTGCATGCTGCAAACAAAGACAGAAACCAGTACAAATGTTGGCCTCGATTTCATATTTTTGGATAAGCCTTTCAGATGATTTTTTAAAAGTATGATCAGATCAAAAATATGTACAGAAATTATATATATATTAATATATCACAAAATATCAAAAAAATTAAAAAATAAATTCATAATATTAAATCATTTTAAAAGCTTATCGAACAGTATTAAATCAAGGCCTTTATTACAAAAAAAAAAACAAACAAAAAAAAAACAATTACTAGTAAAAACAAACAAACCGTAATAGTAATACTAATTAAAAAGTAATTATAATAGTACTGGTACAAGAATCCATTGTGCTATCTCCACTTTGTTACTAGGAGGGATGTTTAACAGATGTTCCTGTTTGGCTGCTTACCTGGGGGTTTCCTGGACTGTTACAGGTGACGGGTGGATTTGTATCTGGTTCTTATCCTCGTCTGGCTCCTCTTCTGTAGTTGCTTCCTTATTTGCTTCTTCTCTTTCCTGGACTTTGGCTGTGTTTTGCCCAATGTTCTTCAGTCGTCTCTTGCATTGGAGCTGTGAAGCAGGAGCCTGGTTTTCCTTACTCACCATAGCAGACTCTGGTTCTTGGGACTTGTTATCTAGTGCGTCTGAGGGTGGGATATTTTTAACATGGCGGAGTTGGTGAAGCAGCAAGCTTTTTCCTGTAAGTTGAACCCTGCAAGAGAACATTGTCCTAATTATAGGATATCACCATCTTATCAGATTAAACTTTAAATATTAATTAACATTAATCTTTTGGGACTTTTCTATTTTTCTGATAACCTTAATAGCCTTCCAGTCTACTTCGACAGAACAGGAGCTTTCCACACAATGGGCACTTGAGAAAATATTGCAAAGCTGTTAGATTGCAGAGCTGTTAGCGTTACGTAGCATTTTGTAGTGTTTGGAGCTGAGCCCGTCGTCTTTCAAACAAAAAAACCTACATTTCCAATCTCTATGGAGCAGACATTAGTGATATTTACAGTTATCAGACATTTTGTGCAGCCCTTTCTTTGATCGTGAGAAAGTGGGGGGTGAGGTGAAGGGGGGCTATCTCAGACTACTCACCTGTTGTGGAGCCTTTCCTCTGTCTTCTCTTTGACATGTGTGGACTTTCCTTTCCGCTGATCTTCTATGGTTGTTGAGTCCACGTGGAGAGCAGTTGACCTCAAATCTATATAAACAGTAGAAATTTGTTCCTGGTGTTTTTTACCATCCAATGTGTCAAGATCCTTCCTGGAATGGAACAGGTGTCATCACATTAAATTATTATTATAATCATTTAGCTCTAAAAAAACCCAAAATGAAACAACAAAAAAAGAATTTAAAAAAAAATCACAAAAAAACATTCTTTCTCCCCAAAATACCTAGTTAGGGAAACTCAAAGAGAGAAATTAGCAAAGCATGGCAACAGAGATAACTATGGTGCAGTCACCGTGGAAACCAATGTACCCACAAGAAGATTCTGATCGTTACCATGGTAACTGCTCCACTATCAATATTTTTGCCCCAAAGCACATTGCAAGCCATTGCAGACACGCTAATTATCAGGAAAAGAAAATAATGGTAAGTATGCAGAAATGTGCACTGTGACGGGTGATAAACCTATCAGAAATTAAACATTTACACTGTTTCAGCCTATTTTCCTTTAGTGATAGCAAAATGAAGAAGGGTGCTATATAGCAATTGTTAAATAAAATAAATGTCAAAGAAATTTGGGAAATCTTATGTGAAGACCAGAAAAAATATTGTATCAAATACTGACAGGAAAAATATTGTCTGTGATCTAAAATTGAATCCGAGAAGTCTTTTATTTAACATTCGCTTTCACCCTTATTCTGTCTGAATCTTTTAATCCGTATTTTGTGTCCATAATTCTCTGTGTCTAATAGGTTCAGGTTCAGCTCCTAAAGTCTGCCAGAGGACACATTTTATGCCATTGCAGAGCTGTATGTTTTATAATTTGCATTCTCGGTCACAATAGCATTGTGGGAAATAAATATTTGGCATTTCCAGCTGATCCAATCGATACAACAGCAGAAACAAACAAACAAACAAGTATATCTTTAAACACCAATAGTATATATGTTGTTTTTTTCAAAGATTTTAACTGCTTTAAAAATTAACTATTGCTCCTATAAAACAAAAATGTTCATTTTTTTTAAAGAGATGCCCCACTGCCCAAATACAAAAAATAAATGAAAATAACAGCATACAATGAAAACGTGCAATGCAATTATCATTTTTTTTATAGGGGGTACTTCTAAAAGCAGTTTACAAAAGCAAGATTGCTTGTCTACAGGATTTGTAAGCCCTCCCCTTCTATCCCCGCCCAGACTTTCTGTGGCTGCCCAATCACAGACTTCCCAATGCAGCTCAATAAGAAGTCTTTGCAAGGCAGGTGCTTTGGACAATTGCTGCCTCTTGAGTTTAGCTCCACTGAGCTAACCAAACCAGGAAGTACCCAAATACAAGAAGACAACCTGTCCAACAGGTTCCTGGGTTCTGTATGCAAATCACATGCAAATTATGTATTCTCCATTTTAGCAGTTCATCAGTTTTTTAACCACCTGGTTATGTCCAAAATTAGAAAGAGTCCATAAATCCAAAGATAAATCTGACTGCCATTCTGGGATTAAGAATGAATTTTTTCCTAGTTTGTTGCAAAATTGCAATTGCTTCAAACTGGGTTTTTTTTTTTGCCTTCTTTTGGATCAACAGCAAAAAACAGATGTGAGAAAGGCTGAACTTGATTAACACTTCTCTTTTCAGCTAATGTAACCATATAGTGATTGTAGTGTCCTTTCAATTATTTACTGAATGACTTGGATAAATGGTTTAAAATGATACTATGCTACATGATATGGAGATACTGCATTGTAATGTGTTACGGTTTTAATGTTACAGATTCCCTCTTTTTAATCCATGGATGATTGTTTTCATTAGAAATCCTCTCCCACTCCCCTGAGGACACTCTCACTAACTGCCCACCCATCCGCGCTGGTTTCATCCCATTCTGAAAGTCACCTGCAGGAGATTCCCCTGCTCTCATTTTCCTTTGTCTCAATTGCCAACTGCTGAACACGAGGAACGGACTGCAACTGCCTAGCACTCAGATCCGACAGCTGTTTCATGATCTGGTCTTGGATTGCTGCTGAATAACTTTCAAACGGCAGCAGTGGAGGAGGCATCAGTTCATCTGGGGAAAAAAAAAGACAAATTAATAAAATTTTAAAAAATCGACATTTTTACTTTTTAAACCATCTACACCACAGACACACATGGCATTTCACAGTCAAACAATACTGACTGCTTTTGTGTCTATTTGTGTTTCCATTCAAAAAGTGTGATCTAACTAAACTTTTGAAACATTTATTTGTCTTCATGCAAAATGATTGGTTAATGTTTCTTGCCTGTTTTTCTCTGTTTTGACCAATGACTTTTAATAGGCAAAGCCCCAATTAAAAGTTGGAACACTAAAGTGTTGGAGCTCTCTTAAAGAGACAGTGCACTATGGTTTTTGAATGACAAGAGCCACTTACATGTCCAATTAGAAATCCATAAAGGGGGCTGAATGACGTGGGTTCGCCTAGCTACTGGCCAGGTGACAGGACATGCTACAGCCCTGACACGCACATAGTTGTAGTGACAGACAGTGCTACACGTACCAGAGTCTCGGAGACTTGCTGTATTGAGGCTGGTTGGAAGGTGGATCTCCTCCATCTCCATGATCTGCTGGAGAACCCGGTCAAGGTCCCACTGCTCTGCACCCTAAGGGGGATATACAGCCCGACATCTTTATTACCATATCAACAGAAAATCTCTCAATAAACATTTATTGACATACAGGAAGAGAAAAGTAAGGAAGACTCGGGTAAAATTATTCTTAATTTATTTATCAATCAGAGCGATAATATATATTTCTACGCCATAACAACTCTCTCTGGTTCTCTTTAAACACCTTACCCACGACTGACTTCTGTGCTGACCTAAAAAAATGGTGAGGGTTCTATCCTGTATAATGAACGTCACGGTTTAATGAACAAGTACTCGTTATGCTACATGTAATTTTCTTTGTTGCAGTCTAGACTTCGCTTATATATTTGAGATGGTATCAAGAGTTTGAAACAAATTAACATTATTGAATGGAAAGATAATTATAAAAAGTTTAAATGGCATGCGGAGACAATTTCAGGGGTGAAAGAAGCAGAACTGTACACAGGAAAAATACCCCACTATATTTCACAATCAGGGACCACTCTGAGTTTGTAGGGGTGTAAATTAACAGATTAAGGAGAAGATATCCCTCGGAGATACATATGGTTTTTATTTGTATTTAACTCAACATCACCTTTTGTGACTGAGGCCCATAGTTAATCGGCTGCTTTGATAGCAGTGTCACGTGAGCTTCAACTCTGTGTATTGCACGACAGCCTTACCTGCTTCTTGTGGAGGGAGACGGGATCTAGGTGTCCATTTGGATCCTTTCCACTCTGCACCTCAACGCTCTGACTATCCCGTATAAGTGAATCCTCTACACTAAGCTGAAATTCACAGCACTCAATCTTAACCAGGTCCTTCATTTCTCCATTTGGGGTCTCGGTCTTCTCCGAGAACAGGGGCTTCGTACTAGTGCTGGGGTCAGGGGTTATTTGCTTTGTGTCATGGTTGGTGAATGTGAGGTTTGGATCGTCATGAGAGCTCTCCTTTGGTTCCGTCCATCCCTCTCTCTCAAAGTTCATTAGCCCAGAATCATCCTAGAAAAGTAATGAAGGTCATACACACCAGGGTACCATGGAACAGTCTAGGTTAAATATGCATATTTTAATGTACCCAAGCAAGACAGTTAAGATAAAAAGTGTACAAGTTTTGTCCAACCTCTTTTTGCCGAGCACTAACTTCCTTATTCATGCTGGGCAGCATCGAATCATATGCTTCTCAGAGTTAGGATGTGTCAAAGCAGATGCTCACCTGAACTTCAGTGTCCTGGACCTCTCCTAATAGTTCTTCTGACAGGTCTGGCATAAAACAAACATGATCTCTCTGGAAAATGTGCATCTCCTCATCGTCACCATCAGACTGTTGAAACAAAAGAAAAAGCCTTTTGTGATTGATTGGCAGATTGTGACTGGGTCCAGCCATTTTATCAATGGATAATAAGAAGACTTAAGGTGAGGCAAACAGAAGGTGCGTTTTGGCTTTTACTGGTGGCTGATCCACATCTACCTACATCAAATGGATCACAAAGTGTTATTATAAAAGATAGGTTTTTATATTTTAATACATTTTTAACAATATTTGCATATTTTTATTTATCATTCTTCAAATGCCTTAAAAGGGTGGGTTTCAATTCCAGGTCTGTATTGCCACTTTAATTATGCCCCTTAAACAAAATACATTTAACATAGATAAAACGCAGATAACTAATAGCAGTTATAACAGGTTGCATTTAGTGGAGACGCTGAGAGGGGTGTCTTTTTCAGAGACTGCAGGCTTGTTTAGGATTGGTGTTTGAAGTGGTAGTTTTTGTGTTTGAAATGATTAGCAAGCCCACACTCCAGAACGGATTGCCCTAGCAGTAGGACCCACTATGTCTTAGTTATATTAAATACGTGAATATGAAAAGGCCTGCATTAACAGCGCTATGGAATTTGCTGGCGCTATATAAATAAAACTACTAATAATTAACAGGTCAAGTCCGAACACTCACCAGGGACGACTCATCTGAATCCAGAGAAGGTACTTGTTCTTTCACTGTGGAAAAGATGGAATCCCAGCCGGAGACTCCTGGCCATGTGGGGTCGGCCGTAGTAGTCATCTGCAATATGTCTTCCTCCGAGGTCATCTTATGAGCAGATGCCATATTTCTAACCTTGAAATGCATCAAAAATAATTTAGTGAGGATTCCATGGCTTTTACAGTAGATCCTCCAACATATAAAATACAGCTCCATCCCCGTGTACTGGGTGGATCCCCCAAAATGTACAGAATAAACCCATGAGCGTAGATAAAGTAGGTCTTACATACAAGTATACCATATACCAGTCTCACATAAAACAGGGAAAGAATGAACGGACTACAGTATATAGTGGTTATGGTGCTTGGATGGTACCTTTAACTCCTACGTGATTTTAAAGTGAACCTGCCTTGTCGGCTACACTTTAACAAATAACCCCTCCCAGGGCAGACCTTGATATGTACAGTTTAACACTAACCCTAGCCTAAAATATTGTACTAACCAGATTATAAATCTCAATGGCGCATGTTTTAAAGGAATACACAATTTCTGGGATAGGGAGACATTTACAAATTATTTTGCCTTTGCTCTCACGGTTTATTATGATGTCTGGAGAACCCTTACACATATTTTACCATAATATACGGCTCCTCTAAATAACAATAATAATGATAATAATAATATTATTAATGCCAGGAGCCAAATAGTGATGTCTAGATTGCAGGTTTCCATTGGAGGAGGGCCATTCACTCTCATTGTAATTATTTGTATAATTTCATATTATCTCAGATGTATTGTACCTTTATCTTACTACTTATACCAATTGTTCTGCGCTATGGCATGTGTTGGGGCTTTATAAATAAAATAATAATAATAATAATAATGCCAGGAGCCATATAGTATAAATAAATTATAATAATAATAATAATATTTCCCAGCAGTCTCAGGTACCAGCCTCACAGGACTCCAACTCCCATCACTCCCCCAGCCCTCACCTCCCTGTCCAGGGACACAGCTATCACCTCCACTGCCACCTGACTCCCTGGCCCCGCCCCTACCTGCCAACACCCCACCCACTGCTGGGTTAGCCACGCCCCATATAGGCGTGGCCAACGCAGCTGTTGAGGCCACCGTTCGCTATCGGACATAACCACGCCTTAAAAGGCGGGGCAAGGCGTGGAGGATCATTTATTTACTAGGCAACTACAACGGTTAGACACGCCCCAAACCATAAGACACGCCCCCCAACGTTCCTCCGCGTCGCTTTCGACCTTCATTGCCCGGGTAACAAGCTGAGACTCCGCCCTCTGCAGGTCCTGACAGGCACATAGAGTATATCGCGGGTATATTACAGGTCCGAGGGGCTCGGGCTCGCTGAGGTAAATTATCAGCCAGCAATGTGTGGCACACTGTGTAATCGCCGTGCTAGAAAAGAGAATCTGGGATGTAGAGGTTATGGGTTAAACTCATTCACTATATAGCAGGCAGGACCTGCGCCGCTTGATTTCCATTGGTCAGCTCTCCCGGCGACTTTGATGTAGCCTAGCTTTTCATTGGCTGCTCAGCTTGTTGATCAAAACGGAGGCGGGGCGAGCTGCTAAGAATTCTGGGAATTGTAGTTTCAGAGCAGGTCTGCTGGAATGCGAAGGCTCGGGGAAAGAACTACAAGTTCCAGCGTCCTGTGCGCGCAGGGGGGAAATTCCAGCAGTGAGGCTGAAGTCTCAGAGTGGGGAGGGAGGGAAAGTGACTTTCTTCCTGTTACTGCATCTTGTCTGAGTTATAGGAGGAGGTGAGTCCTGGCTTACTGTGGGTGGCTGGGCAGAGGAGGGGAGGGCAGCCTTCAGCACTCCAAATATTCTGGACTACATCTCCCATAATGCCCTTACAGCCACAGTGCTGGCAAAGCAGCATGGGAAATGGAGTCCACAACATGTGGCTTATCATTAGGCTCATTATTCATGGCCCTTGGAAATGCACCATCACAGGGACTGAGCCAGCGCATAGCTGAAAGCTGGCATTTAAAGGCTGCAGACAAAACTATCGGCGCTTCAGCAACGTAAGGCGCCATGATCACATCAGTGATTTGAAGTGGTTATGGTGCCTGGTGTTGGGATTTGAAGTGGTTATGGTGCGTGGTGTTGGTGTGTTAAGCGTTTTGCTGCGAAATGCTGCACATCCTGAGATTTACCACCTTTGCTGCCGGAGGTGGAACTCCACCACTGGTGGCGTCATTAACCAGCCTTAAACACGAGTTCCGGAGTGGCAAATATCAATTCTGTGCATAATTTGTTCCACAGAATGTCATTCGTTGGCTCCGAAGGATCAGCTGACTCTCTTTTAGCCAATAAATGCCCAAAAGGATTGGCATCCGGCTTCTGTAGGTTTGGATGAGCCAGGTGTCGTAAGCCAGCGCAAGAGGAACCACCCCTGCACCTCGCGTGGTCTTTGATAAGAGGGCACACCATTTTAAAACAGTTTACCTCATTGCGGGGGAATGGGAGCGGCCTTTATTGATTGTGATGGTTGATGTAACCCTCTAACGCAAAGTACATACCTCTAGAATGCAGGTAGCTGTGTTTAGTGCATAGTTGAATACGCGTTTAGAAAAAGTGGTCACACGAGGCTAGAGTATTTTAAAGAGACACAGTTTGAAAAGGGTTTGACAGAGATTGTAGTTTTGGCATCCAGAGACTTATTCTACTATAACTAGTTCAGTAAGCTTTCGTAGTTGTGGATTAAAGAATTCTAAGTACCATAAACATTGTACCCTGCTGTAGTGGTTAAGGTGTCAGGAGTGCTCTGGCGCTGTCCCTGTGTAATTTGTCAAACTGTTTTGTAATATGTTCCATACCAAATTCTCTTATAATGAGGATCTCAAGCAGTGAATGGTAGACCCAAGTAAGTTTTCAAACTGTTCTAAAACGTTTTCACAAGTTACACTGGACAGTTCCAGGGCAGTCCTAGCATCATAACTACAGAGCAGTGTACTGGTTATGGTGCTTGGAGTGTTTCTAACTAATTAATGAAGTAGATGTGTTCTTATATTAGCCTCTATTGGGAAACCATAAAGGATTTGTGGCAATTTATGTTTATTTGTAATGATCCCAGTTTTGGCTTTGTGTTGTAAACAAACTGCAGTCATTTATTGAATACGAGGTCTGTCCGTAAAGTATCCAGCCATGTAATGTACAAGAAACATTGTACATAGGACAATGACACCTCAGTCCCCTTCAAGGTAGTCCTCTTCCACTGTTCCAAACACTCTACAAAATCCTTTGTTGGAATCGTCGTCAGCTGCCTCGTTGTATTTACCTAAAATCTCTTACCTTTCAATTATGATTTTAGTTTTGGGAAAAGCCAGACGTCGCAGGGATTTAAATCTGGGCTGTAGGGGGCCTGATTAACCTGGGTAATTTGTGGCACACTTTTATTTGTGCTGCACTCGTCGCATCATCCCCTCAAGACTTCTGAATCATCCAAATTGCAGCGGAGAAAGGTTTTTTGCTTAACGCAAAATGTTGACATTCTTTATTTTGGAGGTGCATTGAGAAGTATACGGTTTGACATTGATACTTGGTGCCAAGATGTGTATGTATACAGACTTATTAGTAAAGCACAAATTAAAATAAGCAAGCAAGACAACCATGTCAAGGTACCATGGCATGAGCAAAATTCACAACATGTAGTTAGACATAAGTGAAAACTGACATGCTTAAATTTTATCATGCATAAACTATATAAGTGTAGAGTATCCACTGAATGTAAAGACAACCATAAACATTACTACTCTGTCGATTCACTCATGGTAAAAATATAGAAAAGGTTGAAACAAATTATAATAAAACAAGAACAGTAATCGTGGACATGTCAGATTGTACTATCACTGCGGCACCCACGACGTAAGTGAGAAACGGTTCCTGATTGGGAGAGCCGGTCCTGAGTCAACCAATCCCTGTGAGCCGCCAGGTGATGTTCCGTGCGGTAGCATCGGAGCAGGACTGCCCTCCAGCCCCGTGCCAGATTGAGGGCTGGCATTTGGAAAGCACAGTCCTGGAGTCTCCTGTGACTTGCTCAGTCATTTTGAATGCGCAAGCCACACCATACACACACCAATTTAACGATGTCTAGCGCCCCCACTGACTAGTGCAGTGAAGTAGTCCTTGTTCACGCATGTGCAGTATGGTCTCCTTGGCTGCCAGGTTACATAGTTTTTGCACATACCGTTCTCGTTCTATATTAACAATGGCTGGACTTTTTCCGAATGTAAAAATCAAAGGTGCTTTACTCGCTAAATATGGAAATTAATATATAACTGCTCATTTTAGGTCAAATTAGCCAAACTGAAAAACACAGCATGGTTGGTGAATTTTTTGCAATCAGACGCTTTGAATAGTGCCATTATCTTTTAATTCACCACAATTTTATTATTTAGTAAACAAACCACAGTTACTTACTTGATAGATCTATGTATTCTTTGTTTTTGGTTATCAGCATAGCCTTAACATATTGCTATTACTGATTGCCTGACCATCCCTCTGGCCCTTTAGTGCCTCTCGTGACCTGTGTATATATAACACATGCACAGGATATTAGAGCTGTCCCTATTGTGTTGCGTCTATTCTGGAGGGGGATGAATCATTCTATAATGAGAATATACATTCAGTATGTACAGGGAGTGATTGCAGCTCACCGTTGGTTCTGTAAGTGTGTGAAGTATAAATATGATTTGCTTTATTTCAGATTCTGCCGAGTGACGTAGAATGGCAGAGCTAAGCGATGAGGCCAGTGAGACAGAGATGCTAGGCAGCAGTCTGTCCATTTGGTATGGGGAACCCCTGGACGTCATCGAACTTCCTCTGGATGTCCACACAGCGGCTTCTATTGGGGAGTGTGATGTGGTAAAGGAATTTGTGAACAGGTAACAGTTGCATTGTATGTAGGGGACTTTTATGGCAGTGAGGATGCTGAGAACTAGGTGCCCCCTATAAAACTATTTTCATTTATCCTAGGAGGGTTACGCAAGCATAGTGTACACATTCTGAGGTATGGTGGGGTGGTTTTTCTTTGTTCTATATTTCTACAGGTTCCTCTTCAGAATTTTCAGAGGA